CTTAATAGCTGTGCAGCTTTGGAAAAATCTTTTATACTTTCTGAAAATCCATTTTATGATTTGTTATATAGAAATTGATTTGAAATGTAATATGTGGTATCTGACTTAAAGTTAGCACAGTGAATAAATAGTCCCTATTATAATTAATATGATAAAAATGAATATGATAGTATCATAACTATTTCATTCTGAGGAGGTTTGATTTAAAATTTGGGGTCAAGCATCTATAATGGTGGGTATGCCTCATCTCTGCTTTGTTAATATTCTTTACTTACAGTTATTACAGAACTTACTATACCAGGTTGTAATTCCCTGTTTACTTCTTTTTTTCTCCCTACTAGACTATAAACTCTTTGAGAAACTAGGTGTGATAGCAATTTGCTTTCTATCTTATTTATAGAGTTAATAAGAGATGGTTGAATGCTTTGAACTCCCCAGTGAAACACTTAATATTCGCATTTGGTGTTTGTGGTACTAATAATATCTATCTAATTACTGACATGTTATTCCTAATAGACCTTGCTCATCTCCATAGGAAGCCTAATGTGCTTTAATGAAGTATGGTTTTGAAAATGACTAATACATCTTGATAGAAAAAAATTATGTAATTTTGACGCTGGAAGAAACCTTAGTGTTTATGCATTATACCTTATTTTCTAGAGGAGGAAGCAGAGGTGCAAGACAGTTAGGTGCTTTCACTAAGGTCACAGTGCTGACTTGTGGTAAGAATTTTTTTACCCAAGAAAATAACAGTACATCAAAGATAATCAAAATAAGGTGATTTGGGTTGCCATTTAAGGAAAATCCAAACTTTCAAAGCTACTTTTGCAATAGATTTTAATATAGAAATATCATATTTAAAATATAAAATTATACCCATTTTAACATTTACCTGCAAGTGCTTGACAACAAAATAATGTAAAAGTTAAAATTTTCAAAAACTGTGAAAAGAAAATTAGGAGCAGTACATTCCAAACTGTTTGCATTGGTTCCTAAGGGAGCTGAGATTGGAGAGAAAAGAAAGAAATTATTCTACAGTTTGGTGTTCATTAACTTAGTACAATGAATATATAATAGTTTTGTAATTTAGAAATCCTATAATGCTGAAAATTGTTTTTAAAAACACCCGGGCAGGGCCTCCCCGGTGGTGCAGCGGTTGAGCGCTGGGTTGCGAAGCTGCCCGCAGCCTCTGCGGCGCCGGTTCCATCCCCGGCTGCTCCCCGGCCACCGGAGGAGGGTCCCACATGGCGCGCAGATCTCTCCTGCCGCCCGCTGCTCTCCTCAGCAGTGTGCTTCTGTCCTTCTGCCTGCTCTGCTCCCCGCTCTGGCTCTGGTGAATTCTCTCACCCTCTCACGCTTCTGACTGTACCCAGTGCATGTATAAACAAAAAACAAAAAAAAAAAAAACAAACAAAACAAAACAAAAAACAAAATAAATAAATAAATGAAAAACATGCCTCTATAAAAAAAAAAAATAAATAAATAAAAACACCCGGGCAGAACAAGTTGAAGCAAGGTATATAGGAACTACCAGACACATTTTTTGTTTCCTTGACTGGACTTTTCAGTTGGGAAGACTAAATTTTATACCTGAAAAAAATTAACTCCTATGCTTAGTAAGAATTTGAGTCCAGTATGGGCCTCCCTGGTGGCACAAGGGGTTAAGACACAACCTATGAAGCTGTCTGCAGCCACTGCAGCATGAGATTGATCCCCGGCCAGGGAGCTACCCACATGGTGCAGCAGACCTCTCCTGACTCACCCGCTGCTCTCCTCAGCAGTGTATTTCAGTCAATCTGCCTGTTCTGTTCCCCACTCTGTCTCTGGTGAATCCTCTCACCCCCCCGATCTCTGGCCTGTACCCCAGTTCTTGTATGTATAAATAAATAAAATCTTTTTTTTTTTTTTTTTTGGTGGGACCGTCGCCGGTGGCCAGGGATCAAACTGGCACTGCAGAGGCTGTGGGCAGCCTCGCAACCCAGCGCTCAACTGCTGCACCATCAGAGGAGGCCCAATAAATAAAATCTTTAAAAAAAAAAAATTTGAGTCCAGTAGGGGAAATATACAGTGATTGCATGATTAATTAACATTTAATTTGTACAGTGTTTATTATAGTATTTTAGAGGACAGAAATTTTGGTATTATATAGTAATCATATTAAAATTATGAATGTCAGTGTATGATTACTTCTGTTGCTGTGGATTATATTTTATTCAGTGGTACAATGTGTTTGGAAAGTTACCAGTTTTACCTTTGTTATGTACTTCATTATTTTTGGATGCCAAAAAGGTACTCACAGGAAGTGTATGTTGTCTTACCACTCACTGAGTTCATATTTATTTTTTTTACCTTGTTTTTTAAATTGAAGTACCATTAATTTGCAGCATTATATAGGTTTCAGATGTATAGCCTTGTAAATCAACATCTGTGTATTATGCTTGCCAACAAAAGTCAGGTTCCCATCCATCACCATCTAGTTGACCCCTTTTTCCTGATTTATGCATCCTTTCTTCTCCTTTCCCTTCTGGTAACCATTGTTTTGTTTTTAGTCTAAGGGGTTTTGTTGATGTTGTTCATTTGTTTTATTTATCCACCACATTTGAGTGAATCAGACAATGTCTCCATCTGACTTATTTCACTTGGCATAACATACTCTCCGGCAGGATTTCATCTTTCTTTTTTAAAATGTTAGCACTGTGTATAAACACCATATCTTCTTTGTCCATGTATCTGTTGATGGGTACTTAGGTTTTTCCAATTCTTCTGTTATGAATAATGCTTGTGATAAACATGGAGATACTTATATCTCTTTGCACTAGTGCTTTGATATTCTTTTTTTTTTTTAAAGATTTATTTATTTATTTATTTATTTATTTATTTATTTATTTATTTATTTATTTATACAAGCACTGGGTACAGTCAGAAGCGCGGGAGGGTGAGAGAATTCACCAGAGCCAGAGCGGGGAGCAGAGCAGGCAGAAGGACCGAAGTACACTGCTGAGGGGAGCAGCGGGCGGCAGGAGAGGTCTGCGCGCCATGCCGGACCCTCTTCCAGTGGCCGGAGAGCAGCCGGGGATCCATCCGGCGCTGCAGAGGCTGCGGGCAGCTTCACAACCCAGCGCTCAACTGCTGCGCCACCGGGAGGCCCCTGCTTTGGTATTCTTTGGATAAATGCCCAGCAGTTGCATAGGTGGAACATATTGTATTTCTATTCTTAATTTTTTGAGGAACCTCCATAGTTTCTGCACCAATTTACATTCCCAACAGCAGACTACGAGGAGTCTGTTTTCTCCATATTTTTGCCAACACTTGTTGCTTCTTACCTTTTTGATAATAGCCACTCTAACAAATGATATCATAGGTGAAGTGATATCTCATTTTGCACTTCCCTAATAAGAGATGCTGAACATCTTTCCATGTGTCTGTTGCCCATCTGTATGTCCTGTTTGGAGACATGTCTATTCAGGTCCTTTATCTCTTCTTTAATCAGGTTATTTGTGGTTTTTTTTTGGTTAGTGAATTTTGTGAGTTTTTTTTTTATATATATTGGATATCCCTATGATATTTACAAATATCTTCTCTCATTCAGTATTTTACCTTTTTATTTTAACAATATTTCTTTCACTGTGTGGGAGCTGTTTAGTTCGTTGTGGTCCCATTTGTTTACATTTTGTTTTGTTTCCTTTGCCACTGGAGATAGGTTTCCAAAGACATCACTAAAGCTGATGTTGAAGAACTAACCTCATATTTGGGTACGGCCAATCATTTAATCTTGTTCATAATGAAAAAAATATACTAGAAAAGTTAACTTTTGGAAATAAGAATCAGATTAAATATTGACTGGTCAGTTAACAGTACTTTGATGTATAAAAATTCATATTTAATTTATTTACATTTTCTACTTCTTGTATAAAATGCTCCATAACATATTTTAAAATGTGGGAAACTGCAATAAAAACTCTAGTCGTGTAGGTATGCTTTGTGGACAGGACACTGGGTAGATCGCATTGCCTCTTGAGCTGTAGGATCTACTTAATAGCTGTATAAATTTAGTACATTGTTTAACTTCTCAAGACTTTTCTTTCTTTTTCTTTTTTTTTAGAAGTTTATTTTGTTGGAATAACATTAATTTACAACATTGTGTATGATTTACAGGTATAGGTTTACATCTCTTCAGAATTATGTTACCACATCACACCCACCACCGAGACACCCATAGCTCCTCACCATCAGAATTTACTGTGCTTAGAAAGCAGAAATAATAAAAAATCCTAAAAAACACAAAGATGTTAGATTTACCTGAATTTTAGAGCTTCTGAAAATCATTTACAAATAAAGTGGTAGTGCTGATCCTGATACTTCTCTAGCATCAGGAAGCACAGAGTAAATAGTTAATAGTATATAGTATGTTGGGTAAATATCTTCACTAGTATAATAGTACATTTGGGGATGAGTTTCATGTAACTTTTTTTTTCAAGTTGAAGATGTAGTATTGACAGTTTACTCAGTGAACATAGTCACATTGAGGGTAACTGCTTGTTCTTGCTAATCTGGTTTAATGCAGTGAAAGAGAGAGCACTGTGCCTTTTTTTTTAATATTTTTTTTTTTTTTTATGTAATTGAGTCAGTTGATCTTGACCTATATGTTTGGAATAACTCTAAGGGAAACAGAATCTCACTTACTCATAGACGTTAATTCATGTGTCCGTACTGTATTTTGTTTTAATCAGCAATTTGTGGCCATTTTTATGACAGTTTCTGATCATTGGTAGTCTTCTACATGCAAAAAATAAAGATGTGGGAATTTAGATAAGTTATTTCTATGTGATTTTGTTATGTATCTTAATGAATTCTTATTTTTGATATTTCTTTAAAAAACTAAAGCAATTTATAAGTACAGAGCTCAGATTGTATATTATTGTAAAAGAATTTTTGCTCACTGAACCTCCATATATTTTTGATACCTTATTTCTCCTTTCTTTCCCCCTCAATATTTTCAGATGTTTTGGAATGTTGTTAAGTCCAGGTCGAAACGTGAAGAACAGTGACATGCATTTACTGGATATGGTAATGATAAGCACCTTAAGCAAATATAGTTGATAGTTATTTTATATTTTTAAGTACTTTATTTTCAAGTTTTGTTATTTTGTCAAAATTGTTTCTAGTTTTCAGCTGTATGATAGTAATAATTAAATTTCAAAATCCAAGTTTAAGATTTCTTATGAGGGAGAAATATAAGAAAACTTCTAACGGAAAATTATATGCAAATTTATAGCAAGTAAAAGTGTCCATCTATCATCTGTTTGCTTCTTAGGAAGATGTCTTTGATCCAAAAAAAAAAAAAAGTACTTATATTAACAGGCATATCCAGAGTAGCTGTAGTACCTTTCATTATTTTAATACATTGTTATTAAGTACTGTGGTTGATGCTTTTGTTTTCTTTGAAAATATTTTCCTCTCTGAATTTCTCCTGCTGATTACTTGTCCTTAGCAAAGTATGTTTATTGTAGGAGAGGTATTTATTTAAGGGATGCCCTTATACATATTATATATACACACACACACACATATATAGCAGATATTATTTAATGTAAAAAATAGCAGTACCTCTTAACTTTTTACAGTAATATCTAATATCATTGAAGCTATTGAAAAAAATTTGCTTTGCCATTTAGAAATGTTATAGGAAATAATCATCTTAATAAGTATAAAATTTTTCACTTATTGAACTGAGAATTTTTTTAACTGAGATTTTTATATTTAGTGAAAACAAGCACTATGTTTTCTTTCAGTTGTATTTTTGCAAATGTCAATTAAATCTCACCAACTGTGTCAACTTAGTCTTTGAATTATTTCATAGTTATATCACATTGATTAGCTGTTCTAGAATGGTTCATTCAGCCTATTTGAGCACTAATCATGTGCCAAACATTATTGAAGTCCTGGGGTTACAGATAGGGTATATCATATGTGCATCCTTTGTCTTGTGATGGAACTATACCTTTTAAGTAAGTAGCTATATCAATGGGATAAGTGCTTTCATAGACTTGGTGCAGTGAGCTGCAGAAATATAGAGGAAGCACTACATGGGTAGGTAAAGTAAGGACAACCAGTTACAATGAATGTGGAAACAACTATTATTCTATCTTACTTCTATTCCACTTTACAACATGTCAGTAATGCAAGCTTTTTTTTTTACCTAAGGCAAGCCATAGCATTTTGGAGCCCTGATTATGCCATCAGGAGATAGTTTAAGAATATTAAAAATTTATAAGTCCTGGGTCCTAAGTAGTCATAATTCATGTTTGAAAGATTAAGATGAATCAGTGGCAGAGATTTTTTTCCTTAAATGCAGATAATAGAATTATAGACCTTGCATGAATTTCTGCGGTCCCTTAGTTTTGTGTGTTTTACTTAAGAGTCCCTATTGAAATCAACAGACTTGTCACCATGAAAGTTTTGGAAAGAGAAGTGGGCTTATCTGTACAACAAATAATTAAATGGGAATATTGGTATGTATAGTTATCAACAGTTGTGATTTGTTATTACATAGTGCTGATAATCATCATGCCATCTTAATATATGTTTATTGGGCTTGCTTTGACTAGACAATAATAAGAACAAATTCATTACCTTAAAATGAAGTAGTCTTAGTTCTGCCCTCTAGAGCAAGATGTTAATTCTTCTGCTTCTTCTGTGATATGACTAAATATGTAAATACTTTGAAAACAAATTTTACCATCTTACACTTTATTTATCCTGACAAATTTGAAAAAGCATGCAATTATATTTAATTTAGAATTTGTGAGATTTTTCTATTTGAGACTTTTCTATTTGAATAATTTTTAAACAATGCTGACTTTTCCCCTTTGAATATTTTCTAACAAGAAAAGTCATATTGAGAATTTTCTATAAATTTATAAATTTTGTTTAATATAAGATCTACATGAAAGAGAAAGTCTTATAAATGAAAAAAAATTTAAATGACAGATTACATGTATGTGTATTATATACCTAGTACATAAACAGTCTTATAGAAATAAAATTAGTTGGATTTTATTAGGGCTACAAATAACAGAGTCAGTTTTCTTCCAGTACGGACAATGTATTTGATGAGGATACTTGTAGGAATAAGGAAATGAGAATTTTTGATCCAAGGCCATTGCTACAAAGGAAAAACTTAACAGCAAGGTAGCCAGAAAAGCTGAAAATTCAGTAGTCGTTTGTGAACTGAACATGATTTAAAATCAAATTCCTAGAGATGGCTCAGAACGTATGTGGATCTTTACAATTAATAAATTTTTGACAGTAGGCCAGTACCTGGACTCACAGTTAGAATATATTTTACATTGTAGTTCAATATACTTGTAATCTATATGTGCAAAAAGCTTAAAGTAAAATTTTTATGAAACGTTTAATCCTTACATGTGTGATAAACTATTTTTTTCTTCCGCTTGATTAAAAAGTCTAGTCATAATTCACTAAACTGATTTTATGATTCACAAATGGATCATAAGCTTCTATTTGAAAAACATGAGCCTGTCAGTTCCATTTTTGTTTTCCTTGCTGGGTGCTCAGAGGCACAGAGCATGACTCCTATTGGCCCCTAGGCATTTGCTATTCTTAAAATATTTGCTTAATTAATGAATGGATTAGCATGAATATAACATTTGCTACTGTTTCTTTGGTTATTGCTCTTTCCTAAGACATTTTACTTTCCTAAGTGTTTGACCATCTGCCTCATAGCTTCATTGTGCTCAGAACTTGACGATAGTTATTCACAGTTTACTGCGTGATTCTCTGCCCTTTTAGCTCATTTGCCCCTTGCAAACTGCAATATTTTCTTGGTATTTCCTAGGCTTTTTTCTTTAAAAAAGGGCATCTGTTAGTTCCAGTCTGGCATAGTTTGGGCAGAGGTTTTTGTTGCCCAATTTGTTGTCCTAGTTGCTCCTGTTTTTTCCTTTCCTACAATGTATTTTCCTTACCTCTTGTCCTGATCTTTCCAGCCTGTTTGGAGGGGTGGGGAATGGGGCAACGGCTGTCAAAGTCAAGGAAGCACTCTTCAGCAAAAATTGTGAAGTATGTTTATAATGGCCTGGGAACAAGCCAGGTCATGGGATAGAAATGTCTAGTTTAATAATAGAAATGTTAGACTTACTGAGGAGAAACTTTTATTGAAGGCTTTTGTTGTGTAATATAAGGTAATATTATTGAAGTGAGTACTACATGGAAATAAAAAATATGGTTGCTTTAGTTAAGCAGTCACAGGAAGCGAAGAGTCACTTTAAACATCTTAAAGACAGAAGGTTACTGATCTTTATGAAATTATTCTTGAACCTGTGAAGAAGTCTCTGGTATCTGGTCATTCTGTCTGCCTCACCTCCCTCCAGGGCTTGCTCTCTCTGGCTATGGCTCTCTTGTTTAGACGTCTGCTCCCTTTTACCACTGCTGCTGCCCCTGCTCTCTGGGCCTCTGATGCTCTGCCTCCCATCTCTCTTCTGTATCCTTTTCTTTTTCTCCTCTCTTTTCTTTCCTCTGTCTTCCCCTCACCTCCTCTCTTCTCCCCTTTTCTTTTCTTTTCTTTTCTTTTCCCATTTCTCTCTTTCCTGCTCCTTTGCACCCCCACTCCCTTCTTCCCTGTATATGCCTTTGCTTTTTGACTGCATCATTCTTTATTTGTATTTGTGTGTGTGTGTTTTCTCCATTTATATTTCCTACAATATATTTTCCCAACTTAATGCTATATGTTGTTTTATAGCTCCAAAACCTTTCAGCTGCACTGCTAACTGCCCACTTGTTTTTTGTTAATTGAAAGGAAGAATTTGGTCTAGGTCATCTTTTTGGAGTGCAGCAAGCACAAGCTCAGGTCCGGAAATAGACGTTTTTCCTGTCAGGTGCTCCTTCTTGATTTGAATAAATGAGTGCATTGGAGGTACTGAGTGGGTTTCCTTTATGTGGCCATGAGTGTACTTCATCTCTGGAGAACAGGTTGCCTGCATTCCAGCTGTACAATCTCATTAGTGAAATACTACCAATACACTAGAATAATATATGTTGTAATTCCTTGTGACTGAAACAGTTTTGTAAGGATTTAGAGAAGAGTCCATGCAGAGGTAAGATTGAAAAAAATGTTTTCTTCTAGTTTGACCCCTTTTAGCACTAAGTTCATAAGGTGAGGAAATTAGTACATAAAATTGAAAGTACTACAAATAATATACTTTGGTATATGTGTATATTTGTATTCTTTGTGTTGTTTTCTCATGGGACAACCTCTAGCCACCTTAGCCTCACCACATACACATACATATACACAACTTGATGTGAACTTTCTTTTACTATAGGACTTGGTAGCTTCTTTAGTGATAGTCAATATATGGCTTTGTAAAAATCTTAAAGAGGTGAGGAAATGAAGAGGAAGGAAAGGAGAAAAGGGAAGGAGGGAATAAATATAAGAATAGAGGCAGATTACTTTTAATAAACTTGGGTGTCTCCCAATTTTGATTTATGATGGTAAAGTATATGAATATCTGATACATAGATAATATGACATATTAACTTTAAGACTATTAATTGTATAAAAGTATTATGTTAGAGCATTAGAAGAAAAATACTAGCTTCTTATTCTGTGATTAATTCAATTTAACTATCGTGAGTGAGATCTATACTATAGTTTTAATAGAAACTATGTACATCCTTATATGTGTAAGCTTATGAGATTTTGACAGTCTAAGATCAAGTGAAATATAACTTCATAGCAATATTATGTTTTTGTGATTCAATGTGTAAATGTGTACCCCTTTTATCTTAGAGATGTGACTCTCTAAATAGAAACTCTGAAGAAAGCTATAGGGCAAAATATATGCTTTTGTAGGGTGAATAGAATTTACAAGGAAAATGAATTCTCTGTGAATTCAAATTTTAATGAGTTGGATTCTTTAAAATAAGATATAATTTGAAGTGGTGATTTTCTTGATGTATATAGAAATTCATGTTTGAATTTTTATAGGAATCCATGGGGAAAAGCTATGATGGGAGAGCATATGTTATCACTGGCATGTGGAACCCCAATGCCCAAATATTTCTGGCACTTAATGAAGAAACCCCAAAAGGTGAATTTTCTTAACAGATTGATTACTATTTGCTTTAAATTTTATATAATGGACAATATTATTTTACCATGTTTTTAAAAAATTCTGTTGCTTATTTAAAATGTAGTTTTTCTTAAGAATTTGAAGTTCCTTTTTTATACTTTATGTATCCAGGGGGAAAACTTCCAAGTGTTCAAAAGAATCCCCCTCAAAGATAATATGAATTAATTTTGTTAGATTACATAAAAATTATTTCAACTTTGTGTTTCATATATCATTTTATGTTTGTTTGGGGGGAAATGATGGAAGAATAGGAAAGAAATGAGAAAAACAAATTCTGAAATTTGCATATCTTTGATAACTATGTTAACTTTTTTCTTATAGATTACTTATATTTTGTCACTTACTCATTCTAGTCTTTTGACCTTTGGGATCTTAATAGTGTATATTAAGCAAACACTTTTCCCCTAGTTGTTTACTTTTTCATTTTGCTTGACATGTCTAATGTTGAACTGAATTTATAAATGGTAAATAGTTACACTTTTCCCCATTGTGTTTATTTTTACTCCTACTTTATCTACATGTCTATTAATTGACTGTGTTTTGGGGCCCTTGAAAATAAAATCTTAAGTTATACCCTATGAGTTAGAATCTCTTAGTATGTACTTTACAAATTTATATTGAGAAAATAAAGGTTGTTTGATCTTTGGTCTTAGTTATTTAGTGTACACCCACAGTAGACGTTTAGTTAAAGACAAACAATAGTGATAACTGATAGGGAGATATATATTGATAAAGAGCATTAAAATAATTACTCTCAAGTTTCCTTAACCTAGAGTATTTACCAGTTGCTTAAGTTGCATGCATTTGATCACACATTAAACTTTTTTAAATGAGTACTAAAAATGAAAAAATATATATAAATTTAGCTTTTTATATGTTAGGAATAAATAATTTTTACACCCACAGTTCATTATTTCTGGAGACAGGCTTGTAATACCAGCCTGAAAAAAGTAAACGTTTTTCTTAAATCATTCAGAAAGACAACACAAAAATGAGAAAAACCTTTTGAAAATTTTGTAGAATAAAATAAAAGAATTTCAAATAATATATTATAAAAGTAAATATTATGTCTTTTTTTTGGCTCCAATAAACCACTGTTTCTTCTTTTTTTTTTTAATGAGAATACTGACTAAGCTTTAATACGCTTACAGTTTAAAATAAATACCGGCCACTTTTGCAGGGGAAGAGGAAAAATGCTATATGAAATTGAAACAAAAGCATTGTTGTTCTACTTTAGTAAATCCTTCGTTCATTGCCTATGAATTTATTCTTAAGAATATGAAAACTTATATATATATTTTTTTCTTTTTTTTTTTCTTCACCAAGTCACTCATGTCCATATCCCTCTTCCCTCCCCCCACCTTTTCCCCATTCCCTCTAGTAACCATTATCTTCTTTTGGCTGAATTCAGATTTTTATTCCATAGATGAGTGAAACCATGTGAAATCTATCTTTCACTTTTTGACTGTTTTCACTCAACATCATCACCTTGATAATCCAACCATTTTATCCCAAATGCCACCATTTCATCTTTCTTCACATCTATGTAATATATCATTTATTATATGCTCCACGGTTTCTCTAGACATTCATCTGTTGAAGGACATTTAGGCTGGTTCCCTTGATTTGGCAATTGTAAACAGTGCTGCTGTTTACATAGGTGTAGGTAAATATTTTCACATTAGATTTTTCATTTTATTTGTACAAAAACTGAATAGAATTGTTGCTGCGTCTTACAGAATTTCCGTTTTTATTTTCATTAGAAATCACCATACTTATTTCCACAGGGGCCGAAACAGCTTGCATTCTCACCAGCAGTATATGAGAATTCCTTTTTCACCACAATCCCATCAACATTAGTTAACTCCTTTCTTTTTTTAAGTGAGCCATTCTCACAGCGGTGAGGTGGTATCTCAGTGTTGTTTCATTTTGTGTTTCTCTTATAAGAAGTGATATTGAACATTTTTATAATATTTAGATAGGTTCCATTTATTCTCATTTTGGGGGGAGTTTTTTAATCATAAATGAATGTGGGATCTTGTCAAATGCTTTTTTTGCATCTATTGAGATGATTATGTGATTTTTGTCTTTTTGTGGATCTGATGGATTTTAGCTGTTTTTAACATAATACTAGCTCAGTTTCATTGTGTATTTTAATACACATTGTGTCTTCAAAGAAAAGATAATTAAAATTTATTTGTTCTAAGAAAATAGGCATTATATAATATGATATTATAACATCCTGATCTAAAAAAAGTATTTTAATTTTAAAATAATTTCATATGCCACACAAAAAATCAGTTGTTGACCTGGTTACTTTGACCTGATTTCTAAAATTTTCAAATGGTGTATGAAAATTTAAATTATAAATTATTGAGGATTCATGAACAAAAATTTGAGTGTTACAGAAATTGAGACCCTGAAAGATGAAGTGTTTGAAATCTTCCTATACCAAGCTGTACAGTATATTCTGTATGCTGAATTATTTTCTCTTATCCCTCTGCATTATTCCTCCTAGACTTTAAGGTCTTCTAGGGCAAGTATATTCTCTAGAGAATCCTAGTTTCTCTTGAATTGGCAGATAGAATGCTTGAACTTAGTAAGAATGTAATAAATTTTTGTTGAATTTGATGTTAATGGAAGTCTAGCTGACGAGTATTAAAAAACACTAATGAAGGATTCTTCTAATGATGGACTTGGCTATTTTAACTCATGTTTAACTAAAATGGTATACAAAATTAAGTTAAAAAATGTTTAAAAAGTAACAAAGAGATGACAGAATGGTAAGGAATAACCAAGCCATAGATTCAAGGACTACAATGAATCTCAAGGAAGGTAAATAAAATGAAAATGGCATACATATTTCAATCTGTCAGTGAAACTGAAGAAAACCAATAGATACTGGCCTAGAAGATTATAGATTCAAATTTAAAAGAATGCTGTAGGCTAGTAAACATTTTAAATAATAACTGAAATTTTGACTGATAATTCCATATGTTATTGTCTAAAAGCACTTTCTAGGATGCTTGTATATTTAAATGAAAACCACACAGAATAATTGCATTAGAGCTTTGATCAATGATTTTTCTGAAGGTATATATATGTGTTTTGACTTTGAGGTACTAGCTAATCTCTAGGGAGTTCCCTGAAAACATACAACATTGAAATGCTCTTTTTAGTATCATTTTCCTATATAAATTTAGCATAATAAAGGTTGAGTATCTCTTCTGATTTGAGATTCCTTCCCATGCAACTCATTAAACGAACCTAATAATTTCTAATATCTTGTTTTATATGATGAAATGGCAAATATTTGTGATTTTCAAGAGATTTCCTGAGAATTATGATAGTTTTAGTATAAGAGATATTCTGAAAATTTTATTTAGTTTTTATATTAAGGATCTCAATTTGAGAAGTTAAAATTAAAGTCAAGGAAGATTGAGACACTTGAATAATATAGAATTGTGAGTATTGAGAGACATGGAATATTTGGTTACCTATGTAATCAAAGGGACAAACATTTAAAATTAAACAAACATTAAAAGATAACATGATGTAAAGAACTTTAGTTTTTTCATAAAAATACTTTTTTCATAAAATAACCAGTAAATAATAAAGCCAACATAAAACACAGAACTTTCTTACTTCAGATAAACGCGTGTACATGACGGTGGCAGTGGATATGGTCATCACTGAGGTGGTGGAACCTGTCCGCTTTCTCCTGGAGACAGTAGTTCGTGTGTACCCTGCAAATGAGAGATTTTGGTATTTTAGCCGGAAGACCTTCACAGAGACTTTCTTCATGAGGTTGAAGCAGGTAGGACCCGTTTCTTCTCTTCGTGTAATTTAACAATTTTTTCTGCTCCTTTCAATGACAGACAATTCCTAAGTAGCAATATAAAACAATAAAATTTCTCAAATAATAAAAATCAGTCAATACAGTATTTGAAAAATTCATATCAATTGTAAGTTAATGTAAATTTTAAAAAGTGTAATATTATATACCTTTATTCTCTAGAAAGTAGTAATGTATCTGTAAAATATCAATGAACTTAATAGAAATATTAATTTTGTATATAAAACAACTTTCTTTTATATGTAGTTTTTTAAAACCCGAGAGGGAACAAGAATATTATATGCATATAAAATTATAATTAAAACATTTCCAAGTAATTTCTAACTAATTGATGTAGTCAATTCTGCATGCAATATTATATGAATATATTGTTTGATTATCAGCAAGGTTATAAAATTATTTTAATATTAAATGAAATTAGGATTTCTATGACATACCTAAATTTGGCATGTTACTAGTACATATTTTGTTTTGTTATAAAGGAAAAAGATAACAGTGAAAAATATTTGAATTCTTATAGTTTCAGTTCTGTGAGACAAGGGTAAATGTTCTATTTAAATAATGGAAATCCTTTGCATGCTTTTCAGTACTCCACTTTCCTAAGTTTAAAAATGCTTGCTCTTTCATATACTGTAATATACAAAATGTAATGTGATATAAACAAGCATCAGCACAGTGAACAAATATAGAAGCCACTTACCCATTTTTATTTAAAAATAACTTATGGCTCATTTAAACATCAAATACTAAATATTTGAAATTATTGTGGTTTTCATTTTTCATAAAATTATTAGAGCTGTGATTTGATATAACTTTTATTTTCTGTGAATTTTTTTGCAACAGCATATTCTAGTGAAGCTGTATTAACAAAATCCATAATTTTACTTTTATTCTTCCTTTCTCCTTTGATCCCTGTGTCCGCCCCTTCTTTTTTTTTAAAGCATAATTGTTGACTATAAAATAATTCACTTGTCATTTTGAGCCAAATGATTATTCAGAGTTGCATAGGAGTGAATAAAGGAGCTGTATGTAGAGTGTCACAATTCTTAATGACAATGCATTACTATGATGTGAATTCTTCCTCAAGACTAATGATAAGTTAGCTTTCTTCTCAAGTTCTTCTTTTCTTATTTATCTTGCCTTATATACAAGAATGGATTTTTATTATTAAATATTGCTTTTGTAGTTTTCAAAGTGCTAGTGTTGAGTGACTCTGAATGGTAAGTGCCATTGGATGAAAATTTTCTGAGTCATGAAACAAAGTGTGACATGAGATTACTTTATGTGAATGGAAAAGATTCACTCATAATATTTAGTTCCACAAAATGTGATATATTGATTTAAGTGAATCTCAGTTAAGACTATGGTTTCTAACTTTAGTAGAATAATCTGTGTTCAAGAAAAAGTATGGAAAATCATGGAAAATAGGTTATTGCCTGGTCTACATATATGAAAATAGTACCTATCCTGTGCAAAAATGATGCAAATGAAAATACTGAAATCTAAAGAAGTTAAATGAATTATTAAAATTCATATGGATAGTTATTACAACATGTGAGCTACAACTCCTTATCTGAAGTCATATATAGCTGTTGTAAGGTCAGTCTAACTTCTTAACTCTAGAGATTGGGTTGGTTTGTGGCAGTTGTTGGTAATCTGGATTTCTTAGTACAGAGTAGACAACACTGGTAGAAAGAAGGAATTGGTTAAACATCTGACACAGCTCAAGGTTTCCTTGGAAAAATGAGTTGAAGCCATTCCTAATAAAAAGGATTTCAAGGGACAATGGGTTAGTTTCAGTTTTGAGTGAGTTGAACCTGAACACCTGGAATTTTGTCTTTCATTCTGAAATTATTGGATTTATTGAATAAATCCAGAACTAGTACTGTGCCTAAACAGGATTAGTTCATACTCTTTGGCAACAGTTACCAAACTAGATGGGAGTCTCTGAAAATTGTTTTTTTCTTGTAGATTTCCTGCTTTCAAATATAGCAGGAGTTTAACTGTGGTTGTAGAGATGTATGAAAGTCTGACTAATTCCTAATTAGTGTCTAATCAGGGTCAAATAGCATTTTCATTTTTCACACAAAGGGAAAACAAAGAGAGCATGTAACTGAATCTAGAGGGTTTGGGAAACTTTCCTGAAGAAAGCCATTGGACCTGAGGCCTAAACAGAAGAATAGAAACTATGTTAAATTAGGGAACAGCATGTACAGATGCCCAGCACTGATAGAAAGACTGGAAGCACAGAAAAGGGAAGAACAGTCTTTTGGTGAGTGTTCCAAGAGTAGTTGTTAAGGAATGTGTATTCTGTAGTTGAGTTGTTGAGTGGAATAGTCTGTAAATGTCAATTAAGTTCTACAATAAGTTTTTTCTGTGATCTCTACTCAGTATACCATATAGTCAATGAGATCGCTTCATTTTTGTTAGAAGGACTGACTTCTGTGATTATTACTGTAAGCAATAGTAATAATACTACTATTTATAGAGAGTTTACTAATTGCCACACACTGTTCGAAGACCTTTACCAGAATTAATCTATGCAGTCCTCACTACAATTCTGTTTAGGTGAACGAACCATTAATTTTACCCACTTTTTAGTAAGCATTTAGGCACAGGAAGATTATTAGGTGGTAGACCAGGAATTAGACCTAATTGACCCTAAAGATTGTCTTTGCAAAATGTTTATAGGAAATGGAAAATGGCTAGTCATAACACTAAAACTGGAATTTTATTCCCCTTGAAAACTTTTCTATATGAGTACTCATTTTTGTTGTATGTCAGTTTAACTAGTCTTTACTTGCACCATCTTTGACTATTGACATCACTAATTATGTTAGCATGTGAAGAGTGTATAAAAAAATCTAAAGGTTTGTGACTCTGAAATCTTGGCAGTGTACCTACTGTTACTCCTTTAAGAAAATAGACTATTTAAAAAAGATTTATTTATTTATGCATACAAGAGCTGGGGTGCAGACCAGAGGTGTGGGGGTGGGGTGAGAGGATTCACCAAAGACAGTGGGGAGCAGAACAGGCAGATTTACTGAAGTACACTGCTGAGGGGAGCAGCGGGCGAGCCAGGAGAGGTCTGCTGTGCCATGTGGGCTGCTCTCTGGCCAGCCAGGGGATGGAACTCATGCTGCAGAGGCTGTGAACAGCTTCATAGGTTGTGTCTTAACCCCTTGTGCCACCAGGGAAGCCCAAGAAAATAGGCTTTTTGCTCCTGAAATTCAGAAACATATGATACTGACCTGGGAAAAGCTCTTCTGAAAACTGCCGCCCCCAAAAAATCTCTGCTTCAAACCTTTCTAATACTAATGAACATCTGGTATTTTACAACTAGTTGCTGATTCCATTGCCTTAAACCTTTGCTGCCTATTTAAACACCAGTATCCTCAGGAAATAGACCATAATAACTATTATCAGTCATATTGTCCTCTTTGTTAATGAATTTAATGGACTCTTTCCTTAGGCTAGGTTTTATTAGGGTTCAAGAAATCAAGAGGGTATTCCTGCTTGATGTGAAGTATTACCAAAGTGAGGTGAGGGCCAAAGGTCTGTATCACTTACAGTTTTGCTGAGATGTCAGCATTTGTTTTAGAAATGCAATGCTTAGTTTAGTTTTTTAAACATTTATTGAATGCCTGCAACATGATAGTCATTATGCTAAGTATTGGGGGTACCTGAATGAGTAATATATTGTCTCTGTCTTAAATAAGTGAAGAATATAGTCCCGTGAATATTATACTAAATAACACATGCAGCAATAGAGTGTAAACAGAGTACAGAAGTGATACTAATCACATCTGCCACGTTAGATCCAAGTCAGACTTCTGGGGTTGTGGCCCAGCTTACCATTTCCTGTATATTGTTTAACTTCAGGCATGATACTCCTCATCTCTGATTTGGGTGTTACATTGCCTGATAATTGTTACAAGAAACCTCTTCCTTTACTACTATTCATACCACTTAACTACTGACACCAAATGGTAGGTCTTTTTCTCATACTTTATCATTTTTCATCTTTGTGGACACCAGTGAAATGTCTTATAATTCAATTATGACACTACCTGGAGTTAGTGCAGATCCCACAGGTTAAGAACTCATTCGCATAAGATTGTCCCCTTTCCCTCTCTTGAGAGACAAACCATAAGTCCCAGGTTGTCATTTGTGCTTCCGACCATTGTACAAATCACTGGTTCACACAACCTCCTCCTCAGGTTCAGTAATTTGCTAGAATGACTCACTCAGGAAAGCAGTTTACTTGGTAGGTCACCAGTTTGTTATAAAAGAATACAACTCAGGAACAGCAAGATGGAAGAGATGCATAAGGTATGGTATGGCCAAGGGGACATGAAGGTTTCATGCTCTTTCCAGGTGCTCCGCCATCATAGCACTTCTACCTGTTCACCAACCCAGAGCTTGTGAAAGCCTTGTTAGGGTTTATTTTATTATTATTATAATTTTCTTACATCATTGTCCATTTTTTGTATAATACTTGATTTCTCCCCTCAGGTGTAGTCCCCATAATTCTCCTACCACCACACATCTGGGAACCATCACCATAGCTCGTTGTTCTCTTTCCTCCTCTGTTTTGACCCCTTTCCTGCCCCCTTTCCTGCTGTATGCCTCAGATCTATGGTTTGCCTCTGAGTTTTGTCATTTTCCTGATCCTTTTTTGGGTTTCCCTATAGTCCACCTGTAAGTGAAACCATTGATATTTTTCTTTTTCCTTCTCACTTATTTTGCTTAGCATAATCCCTTCCAAGCTCCACATGTTGCTACAAATGGCAAAAGTTTATCTTTTTTGATCCTTGAGTAGTATTCCATTGTGTATACCACATCTTTTGATCCTTTCATCTGTTTTGGGGCATTTAGGTTGTTTCCATATCTTGGCTAATTGTAAATAGTGCTGCAGTAAACATAGGAGTGCAGGTTTCCTTTCGAGTTAGTATTTTTGTGCCGCTTAGGTAGATTCTTAGTAATGGAGTCACTGAAATATAAGGTGAATCCAGTTTTTAGTGTTTTGTGGCTCCTCCTCACAGCTTTTCATAGTGGCTGGGCCAGTTTGCATTCCCACCAGCTGTTTGCAGTCCCACCACAGCACCTGGGAACCATCACCATAGCCCCATGTGCTCTTCCCTCTTCTGTTTTGACCCCTTTCCTACCCTCTCTCCTGCACTATGCCTCAGATCTATGGTTTGCCTACAAGTTTCGTAAGTGTTCCTTTTTCTCCACCATCCTCGCCAGCATTTGTTGTTGCCAATTTTTTTTAATATGGGCCATCTCACTGGTGTATGGTGGTATCTCATTGTAGTTTTGATTGGCATTTCCCTAATTATAAATGAGGTTTAACATTTTTTCATATATTTGTTGGTCATTTGCATTTCTTCTTTGGAGAAGTGTCTTTTCAGCTCGTCTGCCCATTTTTTAACTGGGTTGTTAGCTTTGTTTTTGTTGAGTTGTGTGAGCTCTTTGTAGATTTCTGATATCAGTCCGTTATCAGTTGTATTGTGTGCAAATATTTTCTCCCATTTAGTAGGGTGTCTCTTCACTTTGGTTACTGTCTCTTTTGCTCTACAGAAGTCTTTTAGTTTGATGTAATCTTTAAGGGGGTCTCATTACATGGGCATGATTGTCCATTCGACCCTCTAATTGTGTGGTTGTTTTGCCCTGGCAATGAGACTCCCTTCCTCTATCCATAGGTGCTTTCCAGAAGTGATCTTATTCACTTAATTTCAGGTGTGGTTGAAAGGGACTTGTTATGAATAACACAAGATGCTCCTTTTATCTTTATTGCTCTGGAGCTATTAGAAACGGGGCACAAAAATCAAATATTACAACAAAGGTGCTCCTTTCACCATTATCTCCATGAAACTGTTTCAGGAACCAGAATGAACACCATTATATATATTTCGTTTATCATAGTTTCACAGTTGCCATGATGAATAAATATAAATTTATAGAAGGTTATTTAGCATAGAGCTTGTCACTGGCAAATACTTAATAAATGTTAGCTACTATTGGTTAATTGACTACTTGTCTATCTTCTATCTGGTCTATCTTATTTTTGGTCAGTGTCCTTTGTATCTCATCTTAATCTGAATGATAAAAGGAATTACTAACTCTGGTAGGAAGGTCAGGGTTTTGAAGTGTGCAGTGTTATCTAATGCAAGGGGATTCTTGCTTGACATGTGCCTCCCAATTGACCAAGTTGAAGATTCTTGGCAAAGAGTTTTAATTATTTGAATCAAGTAAGAAGGGCAGACAGAGGGATCATTCACAAAGTACTGTCTCCTCTTCCTAAAGGGCAATAAGGTTTTTTATAGGGTTTTTGTTATTTGGACATTAGGGTGGGGCTGGTGATAGGCATGGTGGAATGTGCAGAATCTTGGTTGTGCAGGTGCAGTGTAGTTTCATGATCAGATCATGCCTTTTCATGGAATACATGTCAAAGAAAATAGTGGCCAACTACCCACCTGGGCAGGGATTTCATTATATAAATGAAAGTTATAGAACCTAAGGTAATATTAGGACACCAAAGATTCTCTCTGCTCATGTTGCTTTTAGTCAGTCTGGCAGGAATAATGTCTGACCCATAACTAAACAGCTCTAATTAGCATTAAGGTTTTTTTTCCTGATAATACAAATTTGTGTTATAATCCTTCTGCCTAACAACAAGGTAGAGAAGGGCAGTTCAGTCAGAGGCAGTAGTTGGGTAAATTTAAAAAGCTCTGAAGCAACATGTTCAAGATCAGTAGGAAGCCAGATATTGCTGAAGCATTAGTGGGCTGAGTGGGTTATTGCTCTGAAAAGGCAGGTCATTACCATATTTAGGAATTTAGAGACTTTACTCTTGGTTTGGTAGGATTTTAAGTTGTAAATGACACTAGAGTTATAATTGAGGGAGGTCATTTTGATAGTAGTGGGAAGGATGTTGGTACTAGACACAGGAAATAAGAAGTAAAAAGGCTATTGTGGCTAAGATGAGGATGATGATGGCCTGCAGAAAGGCAGTGAAAGTGTGGGGGTAGAAAAGATGAAATTTGAGAGACACCAGGAAAGAAAAAAATCAACAAGATTTGATGTGAGATTGAGTAAAAACAAGGATTATTTAGGATTAATTCCAGATAACTGGGTGATTGAGATGAGAGTTCCAGGGAGAAAAATTTTGAATCTCAGAAAAGCTAGTGGAGTTTCAGATATGTTGAATGTAACATTCCTGTGGGACTCCAGGTTTAGGAGGCAATTGGATATTTGTGTATTAAGCCTGGGAAATAAAGATTTTAAAAGTGTTTGATTCTTAAATATGGTGGATGGTAGGCGAAATCACCTAGACCCCAAGTGTTGAATGAAGAGTGAAGAGTGCTAAAGATATAGCTTTGGGAAATACAGACCATTTAAGAAATTGGTTGAGGAAGAAGATTGAGCCAAGAAGAATAAAAAGAGATCTGTGGGTAAAATCCCAAGAGCATGAGGTCAGGAAAGGCAAGGGAGGAAGTAATTTCCAGCAGGAGAGAATGTCTACAGCATTAGTTACTCTCTAGTGAGATTAACTAGGGGTTTGATTGGTAAACAAGAGACAGTGAAAGGTTGTGGAAGGCAAATGTTTTGCTAAGAATACACTTCTATTTGGGATGTCTTTTTTTACCTTTAGTTGTGCAGAGGCAAATAGAAACTCTTGGAAACTTATTTTTTTCCATATGAATTGTTTATATCTGCAGCTCAGGGAGACTGTGACTCAGCCATGTGATTTATGATATGTTAAACAGACATTTTTGTTAAAAACAAGAGGGTTGCGGGCAGTAGTTAGCAATTTCATCTTTGTATCACAATCGCCTGTGGCACTTAAACAATCCAGGTTCCTTTACTCCACCCAAAAGATTCTGAAGAGTAGGCATAGTGTTTAAAATATTAAAAGCCCGGGTCTAATTTCTTCTTTATAGCAAAAGTTGAAACATGGCTTCTGAGGATTTATAGACATATCAGCATAGAGTACATTGTATTTGATGATAGTATACCATATTAAAAACTTTTATTTGAATAAGTTTGGTGAATCTTTATAATGTGACTTAGCCACATTTATTGAGCATCTGTCATGTATTTACATGTTATTAAGTGCTTTTTTTCTAACATGAACCAGGTAATTTATTTTAAAACACAACTGATATTTAGTTATCCATTGTTTTGAAATTCAGTTGCTAGGCATATAATATTTAGGTGTACATGGGATCATACTGTAGTTATAGAGAAAATCATGTGTATATAGGAAACTCAGTGCAGATGGACTATTTTACCACAATCTTGTGCAACAGTGGAGCTGAACAGTTTGTGGTTGACTCTGTGGCTTGCAAAGTTTAAAATACTTCCTATCTGCCTTTTAAATAGAAAAAGTTTGTCAACTCCTGGCAAGAAGTTATATTACTTGTAAATAAGAGCAATTTCTTCCTTTTCAATGTGTGCTTTTTCTTTCTCTTTCTTTTTTTTAACTACACTGATTAGGACTCCCATACAATGTTGAGTAGGGGTGGTAACGATGTACATCCTTGCTTTGTCCTTAATCTCATGAGGAAAGCATTTATGAGATCTTATTGATCTTTTCAAACAACTGCATTTTGGTTTCATTGATTTTTGAATTTATCTTTCCCCATATTCATTCATTTGTGTTATCTTTATTTTCTCTTCTTGCTTTGGGTTTATTTTGTCCTTCTTTTCATATTGTTTTAAGGCAGAAAGATAAATTATTGACTTTGGGATGCTCGTTTAGAAATACAAGAATTTACACCTCCTACTTTATCTATACACACTAATTTTGATTTGCTGTATTTTTACTTTTTTGTTCAGTTAAAAATATTTTCTAATTTGTGCATTCCACTTTGACTTTGACATATTTATATCTTTCTCAGTCTGAAGGAAAAGGCCATACCAATGCTGGAGATGCAATATATGAGGTGGTGAGTTTGCAGCGAGAGTCTGAGAAGGAGGAGCCAATCACTCCTACTAGTGGAGGGGGCCCAATGTCACCCCAGGAGGATGAAGCAGAAGAGGGTAAGAAGTGAAACTTACGTATTTCCTTCTCTTTATATAGTTTACTTACTGTTCTTGAACACATGCACAAACGTGTGTTCATGCAGAGGCAGGGAGGGGGAATGAATGGTGATTATTACGAGTCTGCCACTTTTAGGCTAGATTTTGCTACATGCAGATGATTTGGTTCAATTGTTCCTTGGTTGTGTAGCCCCCAGCACCAAATACACAACTATTTAAACTTGACAGTCTCATTTTGCTGTTTTGCTTTTTATTTCAAGTATTTGTGAATTATTTAATGAAAAGTTTCAGATTCTCTCAAGTGTTTTTAGAATTTCAGTGATATGTCTTGTCATTTGACATTGTTCAGTTTTGACTTGATTTTTGTTGTTGCTTTATCACTTACCAGGCACATTTGAAGTAGGGTGACATCTGCTGTTTACTACATGGGTGCAGCTGAGAGATGCTAACCCCCCCCCACAAGAGTCACACTTTATTTGACTATGCTCAGTATTCTTTTTAGAATAAAGAAACTACAGCTGAATGTCACATGTTTACTTTAAGGCCTTAACTGCTTATAGGGTAGATTTTATTAAAAGTAAATTTCTAAATTCATATCATTTGGAAAAGCATTTTTTTCTCATTCTTTTTACACTTGAAATTATTCCTTTTTTTCATTGCCATAAGTTATTTTAAGCTAATATTTATTGAGTGCTTATTATATATAGACATTATTATAAGTGTTTCAAATGTGTTAACTTATTTTTTAAAATCCTATGAATACTTTTATTAACTTGGTTTTAGACAGGAGACACTGAATCATAGAGACCATAAGTCACTTGCTTAAGGTCACTCTGCTGAAAGTGACAAAGCTGAGCTCTGAACCTAAATTGTCTGATTTTAATTGTACTTGTAATTTCGAATGTACTTGTAACTATTACATTATTTTGCCAAGTTAGCTAAGTGACTACAACCTTTAAGCCACTCATTTAAAAAAAAAAGAAAGTGAAATTTACGTAACATAAAATTAGCCACATAAGAGTGTACAGCTCAGTGACCCTTGGTAGATTTTTTGTGTTGGACAATAATCACCTCCATGTAGTTCCAAAACATTTTTGTTACCCCAAAGGAAACCCCATACTCATTAAGCAGTTACTTTCTATTTCTCACTCCTCCTAGCCCCTAGCCATCACTAATCTGCTGTCTGTCCCTATGAATTTACCTATTCTGGATAATTCATATAAATGAAATCATATAAAATGTGACCTTTTGTGTATGGTTTCTTTCATTTAACATGTTTTTGAGGTTGGTCCTCACTGATACACACAGCATGTGTCAGTATTTCCTTTTGTGGCTGAATAGTATTCAGCTATATGGGTATGTCATATTTTGTTTATCCAGCAGTCAGTTGATTGACATTTATTTAGCTTGTTTCTACTGTTTGGCTATTGTGAATAGTGCTATTGTGAACACTTGTGTATATTGAATATTAAATATTTTAAAAAATATCTTTAATAATTTTACTGGAATTCTGGGTCATATGATAATTCTATGTTTAACTTTCTGAGGGACTACCCAAACTGTTCATCCCTAATGATGGAACTATTTTACCTTCCCATTAACAATGTTCAAGGGTTCCAAAATCCCCATACTCTTGCCAACACTTACATTTCATTTTTAAAAGTTATATCCCTCCCAGTGGGTGTGAAGCGGCATGTCATTATGAGGCTTAGAATTCAGAAAGCTTTCCCAAAGCTATCTGGAGGCAGTTTCCAGGCTCAAGTCCTTAGAGTTGATTCTTTAATAAACTTGGTTATTTTTGTTTGGCTCATTTTATGTAAGTCAGCACTACTTATATTGTTTAGTTTCCCTGTTTCATTTGACAATGTTGAGAACCACTCCATTTGTGAGAGTCTCTACTCCTTAGTCTATTACTGCATTGTTTTGGTTCTCCTCACATTGTTCTGATCATTTTTTCTGCAGCTCCCTTAGCTAGGCTTTCTTTTTTTCATACCTGCCCCTTAAATATTAGAGGTCTTCTAAACTCTACTTCTGAGTAACCTCTCCCACACTTCTCTCACACCCCCAAGAAAATTTCAGCCCTTTTTATTGATTCATGCTGATGATTTTCAAATGTTTATGGCTAGCTTTGATAGGAACTGTGTCAAAATAACTCTGTCAGAGTGGCTACATCAAAAATAAAACTTGGGCCTTGATTAGCTCTCTGTTATTGATTTGCCCAGAGACAAATTGTTAATGCAAGGCCAGTTCAGCTATGCGTGGCTCTTTGGGTTGTGCCCTGTAGTTGAGACCAGCAAGAGGGGCCCTTTTTAGTTGTTGATTTTTAGTTTATAGGAGCAAAAACTGTTCAAATGGATTTGGTAAATTTGAGAGGTCACTGAACCTCTATGAGGGTGATTTTAATAAAGTAGGGAATGTAGCCTATTGTAATACATTAAGGACTGACTAGAGGTGAAGGAGAGGGAGAACAGTGAGTGATCTAACTATTTGTTCAGGAAATATGATGAGAAGGCAGGGAAAGAGATTGAACTAAAAGTATTGGGTATATCTAGCCAAGAAAGAGCATTGCTAGGATGTAAGAAGTTTGAGTTTGTCTGTAGTTGGAAAGGAAGAGGAGTTACCTATCCAACATTTAACCATACATTTCCCTGACATGTTTCTGTGTCTTTGCAAATGCGATTGACTCTTTTTTTTTTTTTTTTTTGTGGGACCCTCGCCAGTGGCCAGGGAATCGAACTGGCACTGCAGAGGCTTTAGGCAGCCTCGCAACCCAGCGCTCAACCGCTGCGCCACCAGGGGAGGCCGCGATTGACTCTTAAGGCTTTTCCCACTTATGTCCACACGCATAAGCTTTTAAACAAAGGCATGTTAAACAAAGGCATGTCAAAAGAAAATATTAATTTTAGAATGGTAGCAGTTTCTATACTGAAAAATGTTTCAAAATATTTTCTATTACTTTTTTAGTTAGTTGCTCAGGCACATTACATTTAGAATGTATTCAATGCAGAATGAGTGAAGCACTGGACAAATCCACTTATCAAAAAGCAACAATAAAAAATGATGAAATTGTTAGAAACAGCCAGTTGAGATTTGAGAGTTAACAGGATTATACAAAAAGATGAAAAGCACTTATTTAAGGAGAACTGCTGAATCTTGGGTAAGAATAGTCTAGAGTTTAGCCTTTGGGGATTCTGCCATTGTGCTCATTCCCATAACTAGTTTATTATTATGATAGTTTTACTAAGGGACTGAGGGCAAGCTGTGAAAACTAGTAGTTTTGCTCTCAGTACTAGAAAGGGCTCACTTGGTATGGAGCACATGTAGAAAATCCCTACATTTTTGGGATGTTGTTGGAAACAGTAGTAATTTTTGTTACAAAAAATGAGAAGGCAAGTAGCATTAGGTCATAATTCTGGTTGGGGACAGCCTCAAATTGTCCAGAATTTTAACAAGGCTATCTAAGAAATGTGTAAGCTTCATGATTGAGAGATAACTGGTGATTGTGATTGCAGCCCTGATAGATTTTTGGAGTGACTAGGTTTTGCAAGATCTGGATTAGAAAAACTTGAGAGACTTTATCTGGATTAAATTAGATGGGGTTACTGCTGGGAATCTTGTCTATCTCTGCCTGAGACTTGTTCTTGCTACTTTGGTTTCGGGCACCAGCTGCCCTTTTCTGGGCCCAGCCTGTTTGGCTGGGCATTTGTCCATAAGGAGATGGGTAATTTCAGAGTTTGATTGGTAGTCCTTATATTGAAATCCTTCTCTTCCCCACTCTTCTTCTCTTGCACTATTAAAAATCTTTTTTTTTTAAAGATTTATTTATTTATACAAGAACTAAGTTATAGGCCAGAGGCACAGGAGGATGAGAAAATTCACCAGAGACAGAGCAGGGAGCAGAATAGGCAGATGGACCGAAGGCAAGGCAGGAGAGGTCTGCAGCACCATGTGGGTATCTCCCTGGCCTGCCGGAAATCGAACCCGTGCTGCAGAGGCTGCCAACAGCTTCACAGCCCAGTGCTCAACCTGCTGCGCCATTGGGGAGACCCTATTAAAAATCTTTGTGTACACTAGAGCTTGATTATCCTATTTTGATGCATTCAGGCAACATAGACCCTTAGAATGGACAATGTGGATTTTCCCCCTTAACAGTTAAGTTTGGATTCCTTGAGCACCTTGGTTTTACCCTGTATCAGTTTTTGTTTCCATGACTAGAAATGAGCCTCCCAGTAACAATCGTATGCATCGTTGGTGATTTAGAATGCTACATACATGTACAAGGTGTATACATACTCAGGAGAGACTAGAGAGGACCTTAATTAATGACATACCCATACTAGAGCCCTTACATTGTATGATGGAGGCACATTTTCATAATTATGTCTCCTAAATGTTTTTGTTTCTTTCTTTTCTATTCTTTGGAGAGAATTGGTGTTCTGGGTAGACTAAATGACCTAAGCCTGATTCTCCCACAATCAGTCCTTTTGTCTTCTCCTGTTAGCAAAGGGCAGCTTCTAGGCTCCAAATCTAGGAATCATTTCTTTTATTAGATTATTGCAATATTTCCTAATTTATCTCCTGCCTTCCACCTTTGTCACACACATACCATAGTCATACTTTTAAAATTTGTCAGACCGTATTACTTCTCTCCTTAAATCCTGAGTGTGGCTTCTCATTTCACTTGAAGTTATTTTACCATGGCTTACAAGGCTCTATGACACTGTTGTCTTAGAATGATTGAAACTTAGTTGAAGCAAAATACAAGTATTTATTTGAGAATTTTGTTAGGACTGCACCCCAGGGAACACAGACCCAGGAAGCTTTTGAGTTGTGTTGTGTGCATATGCATGTGTGTGTGTTTTTGTGTGTGAAATTTATTTACACAGAAGGCTGCTAGTTCACACACTGGTTGGCTTTATGCAAATCAGATTTTCATGGGCGGAAAGTTGCCTAACAGTGATTGGTTGAACCTCAGATTTAGTGGCAGGCCAGCTTTGTTT